CAGGATCTTGCTCCATTTAGTTTCATGCCAGGATAGAAGGGGCGTGGTGCTCTCAGCAGCCTCCTCCCTCACACCAGATGTGGCACCCCTGTGGTAAGGCAGCCCTGGGGCAATGCAGCATCCTGGTGTGGGAGCTTTCCTGGTCCTGCTCAGGAGCTCCAGGCTACCCTGGAGGTAACTGTCAGGCTGGTAACTGTCAATGCCCATTTCTTTGGCAACAATATGTTTTTCTCCTTGATTTCACAGCCAGGTTGTATTCAAAATAGAATATGTATGCATGTGATGCTGAAGGAATAAGGCTGATGAGTATTTGATGACTTTTCTGCATCTCCTTGATTTCACAGCCAGGTTGTATTCAAAATAGAATATGTATGCATGTGATGCTGAAGGAATAAGGCTGATGAGTATTTGATGACCTTTCTCCTTGGAATACTTGATTTGAATAGAGTCTGTCTGCTTAGTTCCCATCGCTGTACAGACTGGGCCTGGGCATCTCACCAGCCAGCTCTGAGCAAGAGTCACAACATTCTCTGGTGAATGAACAAGCTGTGAGTTCTAACCCAGTGTGCCAGATGCCACTAGGCATCCCCTAGTGGGGAGTGCTTTAGCCAAAATCCCTTATCTGCAGTTTGTTGGTGGGAGCAAAGAGCACCTTTTGATTCAGCATCCTTCCCAGAAATCTGAGTGTTTGTGATGTTCAAAATCAAAAACTAAAAGAAGGCCTCGCTTGGCAGGCACTGACTGTGCTTTGAGATTAGATGTCAAGTGCCAAAGACTGTGGGAGAGGTTTTTGACAAACAGAAAGCAGAAAACAGCAGAAACCTCTCAGGAGATCCTGCTCTGTGTCCCATCTTGTGGTATGATGAGAGTACAGAGAGGGAAAAGTGGTGGACCATGAGCTGGAGCCCTTTTGCAAGGGCAAGCAGTAGAAATACATATTCTTTATGTTTGGTAGCAGGAATGAGGTGCACACAAAAATCTTGCTAATTACGCTGCTCTAGGAAATGGAAACTCAGTCAGACATACATGGAGCAGGGAAAGCCCCCAGAACTGAGATAATATGAGCACCAGCCTCACCATGTGGGACCATAAGGGAGAAGGAGAGGGGCTAAGCAAGGTCACAAAAATGATCAAATTCTGTGAGAGCGCATATACACAAGAGTATGAAGACTTTGACAAAAGCTAGTGGTGGATCATTGAGAGGCCAAGGCAGTTAAGTTCCTGCTTTGTTACATAGATAAATTGCCAAAGGAAACATTATCCAAACAGTTCTACTTCAAAGGCAAAACGACAAGCTTTGGGGAACTTGCGGTACTTTCAATCTGGCCAATAACCAAGTGTAAAGTGTAAAATATACATGTTTAGGAAGTAGGACACATGCCGTTCAAGACAGGCCTTTCCCATGCTCTCAGACCAGTGCAGCTTCATTTGATGTGCAAATGCATGATGTGTGATCTGTCCTGGCAATGTGCTGCCTGCCAGCAGCACAAACATTTCACAAGCACCCTTTTGGGTTACTCCAGCCTGCTGTGTGCACAGCCTCCTTGGCAACCTCTGCAGCTGGAGCTTTTCTGACAGTCTGTTGCTGTGGTGGTTGCACAATCCAGGTTTATGTAGTGTGTCTCATCAAGAGACTCCAGGCAGTTAAAAACACCTTGAAAGCATCCTGGAATTGCAGGATAAGATGTTAGATACTACAATTAAATGACAATACAAGGAATGGTTACAGTAATGCATTGGGGAACATATCAGTAATGTAGACTCAGTTGATCCTTAAGGCAGATTGTCCCAGCAGATGTCCCAGCCTTCCTGGATATTGGTGACTTCAGGGTATTACAGATGATGGCAAAGGCCCTCTATAATGTGTTTATAAATTTCACATGAAGTGAGGTGAAAAAAGTGTTCCCTGGAGTGCTTCCTGGCACTGCAGGCACAGCCAGAAATACATGTACTATGCAGAGTACAAGCCAGCCTCCATTATTTGATGAAACTCATCCTTAAGAACCCATGAAAAGGTACAGTGTAAATGCTCACCATAAAGAAGCAGTGGATTGTAGGTGTGGTCTCTCTTCAGTACAGGCTTGAGTGGATTTAAACGTATGATATCAGAAAAAAATAGTGGCCTCATAGTGGTCTTTATGAGGCAATACCTGTGCTAGTGGGATGAGGCTGGCTTTTAGTGAGGGTTCAGGATGTAAACTCAGCTGGCAGAACTGATCAGAACCAACCATTCTTAGGAACCAGGGGCATGCAGATGTGCTTTTCCTCCCTCTCTAACAGTAAGCTAAAGGACTTAGGTAGGGACATTATGCAGACCTGTGGTGAATTACCGCAGTAGTGTGGGGTACTGACTTACCTCAGTACCAAGAGGCAAATCAGCCTTGTGCCTCCCCTCACAGTGTTGGGACAGATTCCCAGTCCTGTGTGTGTGTGCAGCCTCTGGGCCTAAGGCATAGATAAGCAGGCACTTGGTGCTGAGCACTACCCAGTGCAGCAGCTGTGGCTACACAGAAAACTTAACCTGCTGTCCACCACTGAAATGCCTGAACTTGTGCTGCAGGCAGCTGTAATCATCTGTTACTTGTGTTAACCTTGAATTCCAGCATGTCAGTTCCGGTCCTCTGAGAAAAATTAGGGAAGTGCTTATTGAAACCAGCATCCCAGCACTCCACACTGTGCTGGGTGGAAGAGGGAAGTGGGACCCCAAGGCTCAAGAGCCTTAGTAGTAGCATATTCTAGCCACACTTTAGTCATGTGAGATTATACCACTATTCTCACTTTAGACTAATCTATCCTTATAAATGGCCCGACTTCACGCTTAAGTCCCATATTGCTTCAGGAGTTCCTGAGCTTTCTGGCTGAGCCACACACAGTTCCCTGATACCTGTGCACTGTCAGTGGACACAGAGGATACGGTGAAGATACAGAAAGAATTATAGACTGTGTGTTTAATGAGGACAAGGGAGGAAGATGGGTTTTATGCAGCTGTAGTCTAATGTGCTGAGAGAAATCTGTTCGAATGGGTTGGGAATGCTGATGGCATCTAATAGCCACGAAGGCTTTTCCTGCTTCCTGATAGATATAGCACTGTGAATATCAGTCATTGTGGTATGAAGTTGTTACGAGAAAAATAACTTCCTGTGTTGATGGACTTAGCATGCAGTAAATGGAGACGTATGGATGCAAATGTAAGGTGGTAAATGTAGCTCTCCAGAGCTCCATGTGTAACCATGCAGAGGCATAAGTAAAAAGTACAGAGCATTGCTTGTCTTTGACTTCCTCTCTAGCTCAGCTGGTGCCTTGAATTCAGTGTTATTATGGTTCTTTTTTTCCAGGACAGAACTGAGAAATAACAGGGTGCTGTGACACACAGTGCCACTGCATAAGCAAGGCAAGATTTTTCATCCTGGCCTCTGTGGGGAGAAAGAGCAAGAGCATTCTCTGTAACAGGGCACAAATAGATGTGTGAATGCTATCCAGGTAGTATCAATATCCACTGCTTTGTCTGAAGGCCACAGAACTGAAACTTTTTTGCCTTTCTTCAGATCCTTTTCTAGAAGAAATGCACAATTAGTTCCAAACTCTCCCTTTACTACACCTGTACACTTTTATTGCTACATTCACTTTCACTGGCTGGAACTTTGCTCATTTCACCAGAAGACACTCCTTGTTTTCAGTGGGTTCCAGAACAACCTTCCTTCCTTTGTTTTGCTTTCAGAAAAGGTCTCTATTGCTTGTGCCTGTGTGACTGCCTGGAGTGCTGAGACAGGTGGCAAGTGGGTCAGACAGATGGGGAGTATGGAAAGTGCTAATTGTCCACCCAAAGTCCCACAACAGAGTTGTCCATGCCATTTGTTAAATAGAAATGATACTCTGCTTAATATATACCTGATATTCCAGACTCTCAGGAACAGTGCTCCTTCCTAAGAATGCAATTTCCTTCCTATTATTGAATTTTATTCTCTTTAATCCCATCTATTCTAGTCAAGTTACTTCATTGTGATTGCCCCTCAAGTGTTGATTAAACCAATGGTATTATTCCGAGGTGTGACCATTGCTTGCCATACAATGAAATAGCTTGGCACTATTAACTGAGTAGTTACTTTAGCTAAATAGGCACCATTTCAAAAAGGAATGCAGTTCCTGGCAATGAAAATAACCTGGAATAAAGGCATTGCTTGAGGGAGAGCTGTATAGTACCTGGCTATGTGAATTCAGTCTGTCCTTGTCCCAGTTTAGCATTTTGAAATCAGAGTTAAGTAGACTATCTCTCCATAAAAGCTCTGAGTGATAATTTAATAATCTCTGTGAAACATTTACTAGAGAAAGAAAAGGCATCATGATTTTTTAAAACATTATCCAAAAATCAAGCTGTGATGCAGCAGTTTGTAAGGGTGCCCCACTGGTTTTGATGACTTCAGACCTGCCCCAATAGCTAAATTTTATGACCGTAAGGGTGAGGATGAACTTTGACTATGACCTAGATCTGCAATTCACAAGTGTTTTCATACAGCTGCAATAATATTCCAGAAAATGTAATTGGCCTTTTACTTCATTCACTTTTGCAAATGAAAATAAAGCTACTGTGAGAGCAGATCTTTTGCTAAGAAAATATTTTTTTTAATATTTTTATAGCTCTGTCAACAATAAAGGAGTCTCACAGTCTAAAGTCTTTCTCTAAACCTTTTTAATGGAAAAAACTTCATAGAAAATATCCTTTTACTTTTTTAATAACATATAACTATATACATGATTAAAAACTGTAACAAAAAGCTGCAGGGACTGGAAGAATGTTTTGTTGGATCCATGCAGATGGTACATCTAAAAAAGGATTTCACAAATCCATGTACATCAAATGGAGCTGCAGTGACAGGGTTGAAAAAAATGGCAACTCTATATTATTTACCTGAATGTATTGGGAATAAAGCACAGACATACAAAATACATGAAAAGAATACAAAAGAGTACATGGTGTAAATGCTGTAAGCACAGGAAGTTTCTTTTTTAAGCAAATAGGAGAAAAGAAGTAAAATCTCCTTTTTCACATTTTATATTGCAGTTTAAAATATTACTAATCTCTTACTTGCTGTATTTTGTTTTTTCTTCACTCTGACATACACTACAGTAGAAGTATATGGCATTGGAATTTAACAACTCAGGAATACTTTGATTTATCTCCATGTCTGTGAATGTACTGTCAGTTCTCAATAATGACATGTAGACATATTGCTTAAAAACACACACACAGTTTGACATGAGTGACAAAATATTGAGGGCCACCACACTACAAAGTGCTGGGGACTTGTCCTGATCCAGCAGTATGTTGAAGGACACATACAACTTCAAATCTAAGAGGAACTCCTCAGAGTCTAAAAGAAGTTAAGAACATGCAGAAGTTAGTTTCTGATCAGGGATGGAGTTTGAACAGTTCATAGCACAGACTGTGCAGCTAGAAAAACTTACACCTGAGGCTGTAATTCTGTCCTTACACCTCAGATTGTGTAGCTACTGTGTGGATTATTTATTGTACTTCTAAAATAGATTTTATTAATTCTAAGTTAAAACATAAATGAAACTTCTTTAAAAGAATCTGGGGAATTGATGAGCTCTGCAGCTGAAAAAGGAAAGAGATAGTGTTTAGTTTGTCAGTGATAGATTTGAAGAGATTTTGTAGGCAGCAGGTAAAAATGTGACAGGTTGTAAACACCTCAATTCTGAAAGAACTTGCTTATATTTCTGTCCTGGATCCAAAAAACCCAAATAATTGAAAGCTCAGTACCAGCCAGTAACATCACCTGAGGTGCACAAGCATGGTGAGGATGGCAAGACATCATTTAGTAAAAGCTGTCACAAGTACTTAATGATTCCCAGTGTAATCACAGGCAATTTAATAGCAGACAAATAAATGGAGCCTGTGCGTGCATATATTTGTTTAAAAAAGAAAAAAGGTGAAAGCAACAACAGTAACAATAACAACAACAAAACTAGACAAGCAGTGAAAGCTAAAATATTCTGTGAAGCCTTGGAATCTGTTCCTGTTCTCGTTAACACCCACCCACCCTGTCTGGCCTTGCTCTTTTGGCAGGCAGGTAAATCCCTTCAAGTTCCTGTGAGTGAAGGAGGACTTTTTGCTTATAGCAAGACATAAAGTAATTACGAAAATAAGCTTTGAAATCCAAATTGCTGTGAGCCATGAAAGCCAAATCTCACTGATAAGTATTTGGCTTTCATTGGCCGTGCAGCAGATTGATTCCCTCCCCAGTCTGACCTTTTTATGTGGGTGGGCTAATTGGAAAGTTGCCACTGTGGCAGGTTTGAGGCCATTACCATTCAGAGTCTTTTATTTTTTAAGAACATCAATGACACTTGTTTGCGTTGTTCATTGCTAGTGTTCTGGGTAAAATCTGGATTATAGAGCCCTGGTTGAAACTACAATGTCAGTACAAGGCAGGTCTGTTTGAGAAGGCAACCTGAAAGCAGTAAGACTTATTTTGTTTATTTAAGGAAGAGATAAATGTGTGTGTGCATGCATTTGCATTTAACAGTTTTATAGCTGGAACCATTATTAAATGATGCCCAGTAGCAACTTTATCTCATTAAGATTTGTTTTATAAAGATGTAACGATTCTCAGGAGAGTTTTATGAAAACATGCAAAGTTGGTTTGCATTACGTACTCAGTTATAACATGTGCCCAGTATATATGTTGCAACTTAATTTCTTAAATATATATTGTGTAACACTTTTTATTCCTGAGTGCTGGTCTCCATAAGGAATAGAGAAGGTGGCATCATGTGCTCTTCTGCACAACACGGTCCTCTGTAATTTTAGGAGTTCTTCTGAGGGATCTTTATTGTCACAGTTTTAACTTCAGAATATTCTCTCAATCCACATTCACCCCTAAAGAACAAAATGCAGCATCAGTTTATACCAGGTATTGTTTATCAAGAAAAAAATCTGCAAAGTGATTTCTTGATAAAGTTAAGCTATAACTCAAAATTGCAGTTCAGTTTAGGTCAGATCAATGGATGGCTTCAGAATGTGATAAGGAGATACAGAACATTAAACCCAGAAATACTCACTGTCTGTTGATGGAGCTTTTGGGAATAATTTGATGTCCTCTGTCTTTCCTAGACCTTGAAAAAGTCCAAATACTAAGACCTACCCCATGGCCAGTGAAATTACTGTTTATATTGCACTCAAGAAAGGGAAGGTCCGCACTGAGCATAATGAAAAATTAACTACTCACAACCATGGATAAGATGAACTTGACTCGTGACCTGCTGATCTTTTCTCCCTAGCAACATATCCAGCAGTAGAAATCACCTTTGCACATAATGTGGAAGAGGGTTCAGCTTGCTCAGATTCCCTTCTCCGATTCCCTGTGGAATTCCTCGTTTTGTCCTGGCAGAGGACCTTCCATAAGAACTCCTGGAGACCGGGCACCTCCTAGGTCCCAGTCATCTGACACACAGCTCTGAGGGGGGCACTGCTGCTTTGGATAGATTATGCTTAAAGAGTGGGTGTTTCTGAATGCTTACATTAACAAAATGTTAACATTTTGCTTTAGTCAGCTGCAGCCTGGCTCATCTCTTTGGCCCCTCTGCTGAGGTTTAGAGTGGATGTTGCCTGGCTTTGTGGGACTTGCACTTGTCTTCTCTGAAGTACAGGTATTTCTATTTTCCTGTGCCTATTTTGAGTAATGGAGAAGTCTCTTTATGTCATTAGTGAAGTTATGTCTTTCCAGATGCTGTATCTGTAAAGCAAACGCCATCCCCACCTCAAAACAGGTACTGTCCAAGTCTAGAAGTAGAATATCTTTTCCATATTAACTCAATGAGGAGTTTTTTGCAGAAGCTCTTATAGACATTTGTTTATTGGTTGAATTTTTATCCTCACCCTTAAGACACATACAGTATTGCTCTATTACTTATAGTAAAATGTAGAACATGTTAGCATGGATATGATGTTAGCATGTTTACTATTTGACACTCCCTCCCCTCTGGATTCTCCTGTTCAGGACTTAATGCCAACTGAACCATAGAGAATATATCAGAGGAATTCCTCAGAATCTCCTTCTAATGAGTGTTTCAGAATGGAGTGAGTGGCCACTATTTAAGGCAATTAAATCCCTCTGCAGGCCCCCAGTTCTGTGTAACCCACGTTGTATTTACTTCTACACTGCAGATTTTAAAGAAAATGTAACATTGGGGTGAAACTCTTGTGTCCTTCCTTGGAAAGTTAATTCATTTGAGCAGAAATATCAGTATTTACCAGCCCATGTCACTTCATCTACAGTTTTGAAAGCTGATGTGCCTGTTGGCTTGGGAAGCCTTAGACATGATATAGTGGTCATATGTTTAAGGGATACAGCAGACTGATGATTCAGTAGGAAGTTTTGAGGTTTACCAGAGTCTAAGTACCTGCAAGCAAATATTAGTGAAGACTTTTTTACATCTGAAAGGTCCCATTGAGCTGAACCACGCCAGCCCCACCTTTCAGTAGAAAGTGGTGGATTTGTCTCCAAAGAATGACAAAAACTTTAGCTGTTTATTAGCATTCCCTCAGGGCTCAGTGGAAGCTGTCACCTGGAGCCCAATAAGTAATGCTAGTGAGTGTCTGTGTGGAAGATTCTGGATTCAGCAGGGCTGCTGTGTAGCTCCAGACACCCACTGGACACATTTTTGCAAGCCAACAGATAACCCAGCTGACAGCAGCAAGTGACTTTATGTACATCCAAATGCCACTTGACCTCTCATCTTGGTCTGCCGCACAAAATTAGAGACAATTATTGTCTGTTTCATCAGCTCATGGCTTCAGAATTTTACATGGTGTTTTTTTTTCTGGTCAATAGTTTGGAAAAGGAGAATTGTGATGAATTCTAAGGCAAATATTTTTCAAAAGTTGAAAAGCTACACTTGCTGAATAGGAAGATGGGTTATGTCAGTCATTCAGAGCAGAAGAGTCAGTGTGTGTTCAGTTAAAGGGCTCAGTTGTCCCACAGCCTAATACAGGGAGCAAAACCATCCTGTTCCATGGCCACTCTGGCTCTTCTGGGATTGCACTTTGGTATCAGAGTGAGAACAAAGGTTGGGTCTGTGAAGAGGAAGGAGCCCAAGGGTCAAATCTGCATGGTGCTGTCCCTTGATTGTGTAGGTGTGAGGGAGGGGGAACAAAATGCTTTTTAAGAAGAAATATTACATATTCTTTTTCCTCCCTCAGTCCAGGAGAAAAAAAGATAAGGGAATTACAACTCCAAGCTGTTCTCCTGCCTGCACTTGTTTTTCAGAATGCAGGTGTGCAGTGCTGTATCTCAGAGTTATCCATACAATAACAATTCTTATTACATTAGAGGAGAGTTCTGAAGAAGAATGGCACTTCCTTCCCTTGGAGACATTTGGACAGAGGCCAGAATTTTGGGAAGCTGCAATATAAAATGGCCACATGTGGCTATCTGGGGTGAAGCACCCAATTTTTAGTTACAAGAGTTAAATTTTACATCTCTTAGGTAAAAAGCTTTAAAGAAACATGAATGAAAAAACCCCATGGCTTCCAGACCTCTTCAAGGATATGAGAATATTGTAAGTAGTGTTAATGCAATCAGAAATCACCTGTATTCTGCACTCTACCAGGATGCACATACCCCGCTGCCTTTTGTGGGAGTGTAAAATGAGCTTAACAGTTCTCAGCTTTGTGTTGATTTTTGCCCATGTGCGATGATAACCTGTGAGTTTAAATGCAGGACCAGAACAAGTCCCAGGTAATGCAGTGCTGGCACAGGCAGCACAGTGGCCCAGTTGTGATCTGGCTGTAACACAGTGTCACCTTAGCAATGACACACTTATGTATTAGACACTTTTTTTTCTGTAATTGCCCAACTCAACATTATTTATGCTGTAAAATGTATGCCTTAAAAACAAGAATGTAGGAAACTGGCATTTTAATAAAAAGTATGCAGGTATTAATGCAGGGTGGAGGAGGTGAATTAGAAGGTGATATCTGATCAAAGAGGTTCTGAAAGGAGTAGAATAATTACTTATAGCTAGGCTTTCAGGCATCTTTGTGAGATGGAGATTATTGCCATTCCAAACATTTATTGTTTATGATGAATACTTTCAAAACTGTAGTGGGAATCAAGTGTGCAACTACCACAGATTTTTCCATGAGAGCTGGGGTGCTGCCTGGATTTCCCCTGTTTCAAGAGCTCTGCAACATTGATATGTGAATATTTTACTTGCAGCTGAACCTCCCTGGAGTCAGTGGGGTCACCCCTGGGTGTCAAGTTACTCATGTGCTCTATCAAGCTTAGTGGTTTTAGAATATTTTCACAATGATAAGAGTTAGATGACCTGACATATTTATGCCAGTGTGAGATCACCTCATAACTCATGAATGTGAATAGTATGAATGTGTTATTCAAAGTACTCCCTAACGAGGGAAAATACTTCAGACTACATAAAGCTTATTTTATAGATCAAGTTGTATACTTCAACATATTTAAAGTTTTAAAGAGTTTGACCTTACTTTAGTTTTACTGCTGAGTTTGCCATTAGCCATAAGCTATTTTGAAAACTTAGGTGAGACATATCTGGTACACATACCTCCTGCACAGAAATTAATTGAATCCTTGGTATGTAACCAATCTGGGGGTGATGCAATTACTAAACTTCCTTGTGATTGTAATGAGAAACTGGTAAGACTTTAAATTAGGTACATGGGACAATATTTAAGTGTGGAGCTCCATTTCAAAATATTTGGCACTTATTGCTAAATGGCATGGCAGAAAGCTTTATAATGGCAAGTGGTTTTTTTCAGAGATGTAAACACATTTGTTTACTTCTCTTTCCCTGATGTAATTGTTTAAAAATCTGCAAGCTGATAAGTTTTTTATAAAATTCAAATGCACCTATATTAATAAATATAGTGAAAACTGAAGAAAGGAAATGAAAAACTACCAAGAGAGGCCCAATACATGGCAAAAAACCCTGAAACAAGTACACCAAACCAATCAACAAGCACTCAGCAGCACCAAAGAGAGTCTTTCTGAACAGTGATGCTTGATATGGCTAAAAAAACCTTCCAGAAAACACAGGTTACAAGTCCAGAAATATATTCAAAAATTTTCAGTTCCTTTCAGAATAAGAAGAGAATTCCAATAAGTTAGTTTGCAATCTTAATTTAAAAAAAAAAAAAAGATGGTCTTACAATGCAAATTAATTGCATTTAGAACCGAAAATTAGGATTAAATGATGATTAAAGGTATCTCATATTCATGCCCTGATTCTCAGGTTGGAATATTTCTGGATCTTAATTTTCATGGAACATTCACTAATGTTTAATAAGTTGTAGAGTTGAATTTAGAAAACAACAGTGCAATACTTACATCTCTCTCCCATTGCCAGACATTTTGAATCCTCCAAAAGGACTTTGGGCATTTAAGGCATTGTAGCAATTTATCCTGCAACAGGAAGAGGCATTAAGTCCAGCTGCACTGCCAGAAGACCTTTGCATAACTCAGACAGAGGCTGAAACTTGTGGAGCTAAGGACACTCTATACCTCTTAGTAATAACAAACTTGTTTCATGTTGAAAAGAAGTGAGGGACTTATGCTACAAAAACAACAGTCTCCTTCTCACTCCTGAGGAGAATTGGATTTGACCTGTGAAGGCAGGAGGAGAGCACCATACCCTTGGACACATCTTCGGTAATGAACTGTTAATCTGCTGCCAAATCTCAGTGCCAGTTTATAACAAAGAGCTGTTAGATTTGAGTTTGCCCTTTTCCTCCCTAATTTCTTGCAGATCTTTACTCAGGTTTCACATACTAAATTGCAAGCTACTAAACTAGAGTTGACATTCCCCATTGCTAAAGACTGGAGAGGTGTCCCCTCAGTTGTAGAAAGCAGGTAATCCCTTGTGCCTTTAGTAAACCCTCCCAGGTTTCCTGTGCTCCCAGAAGGGCTCGTTTACCCTGGCTGTTCTCAGTGAGGCTGCTCAGCAGTGGTGCCCTGCTCCTGGGGAGCAAGGTGCTTCCCAGCTCCACAGCATTCCCCAGCACTGAGCAGCCACAGAACCTCCCCACTGCTGCCTGTGGCTTGGCCAGTGATCCACCACGAGGATGAGCTGCATGAATATTCTTAACAAAGGGTGTAAAACTGAAGTGAGATGATGATAGTGAGTCAAACTCTTTTATCTTCAAGAGTGGGAGTGGGGGAACTTCTGCTTACCAGACTGTCCCAGCCTGCATTGCTGAAGAGACTGTCAGGGCCTTGTTTATGTCATTTGTAAAGACAGCTGCTACCAGCCCAAAATCTGAATTGTTGGCTCTCTCTATAACTTCATCCATGGTTTTAAATCTCAGTATTTCTTGAACAGGCCCAAAAATCTGCAACAAAGATTAATAATTAATAAACAACCCCCCTCAGAGGCATTTTATTCTTGTTTTATTCTGCTTTCTTAATTATCTTCTCTGTCCTATTATACTGTTTAAAATTTCCCACAGCAAAATTTACTGATAAATACTGATAATATCTGTCTGTAAAACTGTATGAATTTTCCAAAGCAGCTGCCTTAGGGGAACTTCTCCATTCTACCCATATCTCCTCTTTGATATCTGAGACCTTACAGTCACTGACAAAAACTGAGCTTCCTTACCCAGCTGATGTCACTTGCTGTGTGCATAAGGAGTTCTGAAAAGATTTTTTTTTTAATATGGTCATAATTTTCACTCTGAAGGTTTTGTCTTAGGAATGAAACAAAAGGAAAAAAAGTAATATTTAGGACATTTTAAAAAGGTCTTGGCCACACATGTGAATACCTCCTCCTTGGCAATCCGCATGTCATCTGTTACATTGGAAAACACCGTAGGTTCAATGAAGAATCCCTTTCTTCCCAGCCCCTTTCCCCCACACTCAAGTTTTGCTCCTTCAGTGATGCCACTTTGAATCAGTTCCAAGATCTTGTTGTATTGTTTTTTATCAATCTGAAAGAGAGAAAAAGCTTTTTGATGTGCAGACCATGTACTTGACAAGCAAGTCCAAATAGGTGTTTTTAGACAAGTCAGGCTCCAGTGAATTGGTTCCTGCTTCCATTCACTGCTCTTTGAGCTGCACATGCCAAAGATCTACAAGCAGGTGCTGACTGTGACCTCAGGTTCATACTTCTTAAGATGTGTCACCTTATGTTTGTGGCTTAACCCACGCACTTGCTAAACAATCTAGTTTACAAGCACAAAAAACCCAAATCATTAGGTTTTGCCCCAGATTAACTTCCTGAAAATGTTATAAGCCCAGATGGTTATTAGTGCAGAAACATTTTCTAAAGACTTCTTTCTGATTATGCTCATCTTCTGCTTAGAATTTCTGGATATCCAAGTACAGTTATGGTTGTAGACAGTTCTTGACAGTTAAGTGCTCACAGAGACTTTTAATAGCTTCTCACAGTTTACAGCTGTATTTTGGGGGCTAAAGATCCAAATCTTGCTCTTAAAACTGGGAGGCAAACATTGATATTTAAACTGTGATTTTTTTTATTTAACAAGAAACACCTCAGAGCTGCACAGCCTATTTACTCCTTTAGAATTTTAATCTTGAAAGCATGTATCGTGTCAGCTACCCTGGACCTTGAGTGAGTGTTCACTGGCTGACCTCTGCCTTAGTGGAGTTTCAATACTTCAGGCACCTCCTGGGCTGTAGAGCCAATGCCCTAATCCTTTACCTGTGGACCTTGTTCTGTGGTTGGGTCAAAAGGACTGCCCACAACTCTTCTCTTTGCACGTTCTACACTTCTTCTGACAAACTCTTCATAGATCGACTCTTCCACATAAATCCGTGAGCCTGCAGTGCAGCATTGACCTTGATTGAAGAAGACTCCTTGGTGAGCTTGTTCCACAGCATAGTCCACTGAAAAACAGGACAGCACATGTTGCACTGGAACACCGTGGGCAAATCTGCCTTTGCACCAGTGCTGTGTGTATTTATTATACAGTGCCACATTCCCGAAACTTCAGTAGTAGCATTTGGTTAAATAAAACTAAATCAAGATATCCCATAGTGGTGTCAGGTCAGAAATGAGGATGATTCCCACTGGAAAAGCTAAGACAGTGCCTTAGCAGTCAATAGCAGTAAGGTATGCAAGAACAACTTCACCAATGTCTTATATCCAGCAACATATCATTCACCAAGTAAAGCCCTTAAGGGAACCTCAGAAGCAGGATGTGCCCCACATAAATACATCTGACTGGGTCACTATAGGAGAAGAAAATTTGTCTGTGATCCTCAGTTGGCAATGGTTTATTAATAATTCATGTGGGAGAATTACAGCAAAACAGTGGATAAATTTGACTTTGGGTAAATTTGGGTAAATTTGACTTTGAGGATTTGGTCATATTCAGACATTCAAGGCCACATTCTTACTTTGGGTGTAATAACTGACTAGACAAGAATAATTAATTAATCCCTGAACAGTGATGCCCTACAGCACTGTAATACCTCTGTTACATTGGAACATTGCTTAAAGTATAATCTTTTATGGACTAAACAAAGCAACAGTGCTTTACTTTCAGCACACTCTAGACAACTCTGTCTAACAGAAAAGTCTTTTTATGCCCTCAGTGTGGTCTTAAGAAAAATTATATGGGGTGTTCCCTGGACCACATTTAGATTTTCCCTGCCAGCTCCATGGAGATTGAAAACACTAGTGGATACTGTGATTAACTAATGTTTCTTCTCTATTGTTAACAGTTTTTCACCATGAAAGGCTCTAACCATTCTTCTCCATTCTTTTGGTGCACTAAACCTTCAACAGCTTTATCATGCTTTCTGCTAACTTTTGGCACACAGTGTTCCTCAAGCAGAAGAAACAACTCCTTTGGAACGGTAAGCCCATTGCTGTTTTTAAATAATCAGAGCTTTGAAGTTTAAATCTTAGGCCAAGTACTGGAGGTTTTAATTGTAGGAAGACCAGAGAGCAGCTGTCCTTCCCCCATGGAAGGTCATAACACAGACCTGCCCTGGCACATGTCACTCTACTAGAAATGTTTAGGTGTTCAAGCGTGAGTTAGCAGGTGAGGGACGTTTGAGGTGTGGTGATACCTGGTGGGAGGCTGGAATATCTGTGTCTGGCTCCAGATGACAAGAGCTTTTTTAGCTTACCAGGATGATTGGCTGAAATTTCAACCCATGACTTGGTAAAAGCATTTCTTTGTAGAAAAGCTGCTGGAAATTGTCAAGTTTTCCCTAGTTTTTCAGATATTGATATGTTTTGAAAATGGATACAGGATTGTAACCATCTCTTGTAAGTGCTGCTATTCAAAATCATTCTATTCACTTCCCCCTTTTAAATGAGAAGACCAAATCCTTATGTGCCTATTTACTGGGGTTGCAAAGTTCTCAGAAAGGGCATTGAGTACAGTGTGCCTGCACCCAGCCTGAAACAAGAGCTCAGAGCAAGGTGTGAACCATCTCATTCATCTTAAGGGGTGTTAACTTCAAAACCTCCTGCTGACAATTTAGATATCAACATTGTAACTATTTCATTGCTGATCATTTAAGCAGAAACTTCCAGTTTGTGTTTATATCCTAAGCTAAACAGCTGTCCTGTACCTTCTCAGGTGCCAGAAATCTCAGCTGCACAACATCATACATCTGCCAAAATTTTCAGCTCCCTGCAGACAGTGGCAGTGAGGATATTTCAATACACAATTATTTAGTTGTGAAAATTTTAAAAAATGGAATAATCTCCCTTTACAGCTACTTAACAAAGGAATACTGCACTGACTAGATTAACAAGTCAAGTGTACATAAAAGTTGTCCCTTTTTATAATTGCTTTGAACCAAAAAAAAAAAATAAAAAATCACAGAATTTCCAGATTTAAAGCACTAAATCACCTTGCTGTAGAGCATAAGATGGCAAATGTGTGTGGGACTAACTGTGAAAAACACCATGTCTATATGCTTGGTTATAACCTTTTTTCTGCTCTCTTGTTGACTATGAATCTGTGGGTTTAGAAGTTGTATTTTATGAAAGATAGCACATCTTTGATCACTTCTGTAGGACTGAAAAGTGCCATTAGATACAGCTGTATTGCTTCACTTCACTTTATATGAAAGATGTGCCCTAAAATAGTTTAAAAAAATGAAAAAGACATCATGTAATCATGTTTTTTAGCAAAAAAATGGAAGTGCTGACTTACAGTCAGCGTCTGCGAAAATAATGTTTGGGCTTTTCCCACCCAGCTCCAGTGTAACTCTCTTCAAATTACTCCTTCCAGCTGCTTCTTGGATCAGCTTCCCAACCTGAAAGGAAATGGAGACACATTTTACAGGGAATGTAGTCATACAGTTCATTTTAACAGCCAGGGCTGGCTATCAGTAGAGCAGAGCTTTAAATAATCCAGCAGGTTCTTCGTTCCAAACATATTCTCATCAGTAGTGGACAGCTTTCCTTTTTTTTTTTTTTTGTTTTCCTAGAAATTGAGAGGGGATAAGGTACAGCACTAGGTTTGTATACCATTCACCCCTATGCAGCTATGCTAAAATGGCTTGGGGCTTTCTTTTAGGGCATTTTAGGAGGGCTGAATTAGAAATTTGAAATGGACGTGACTACAATTACTTCCATCCAAACCACTGGCATGTTCACAAGGCTTAATACATCAAATTCTGATGAAATCATCTTCCTCCTCTGCAGGATAAACAGCACAGAGCAGAAGACCAAGAAGGCAAGAAGTTACAAAAGCACCATCCCAGACCTGACCCACAGCTACACCACAGATAATCTTAATACAGGTTGAGGAGATCAAAATCACCTCCAAAATGTCTTTGTAGATTGTGGGGTCAGCTGGAGCAGCCACAAATTGCAGATCTCACCAATGAACATGAGTGTATATTAAATGGAGTAGCAATCTGACAGCTACAGATCTGATGTGCTTCCACATCAGTACAGGTGGAGGGGTAGCTGTGCTCCCTGGAAATTCTCCTCTCCTGGATCAACAAATCCAAAATAGATCAGCTTTTGTATGGTTGTGGTGTAACTGTGACCATATTGCAGCTAAGGAATCACAGGTATATTTAGGCTCCTACATGGTAAAACACAGGACTAAAAGTACCTATTGAATATTGAGGAGCCTAAGAACTTTGGTAAGTGCTTTATTTTAACTGGGACATGTTTTAATGTCACACAGAAAGTTAGAGGTAAAGTGAGATGGGAGGGAGTCTAGAGCTGGACTTTTTTCTCCAGTACTCTGGTCTCTCTGTTTTCTATTTCTAAGGTTATGTGAGTGAGATTTCCTGCAGCAAGGGGTTAATGGATGAGAAGCTGAACCTCTTAGAGAACTGAAGGCAGTCTGCTAGAGAAAGTTATGTCAGCACTGGAGTAATCAGAAAGCAAATGAAACAGAAACCAGGGCCTCCAAAGGAAAAAAAAAAAAAAAAAAACCACCAAAAAAACAAAGGAAAAACCTCAGGATAATGAAGGAATTGTGAACCACTTCATGTACCTTTGTGATTAACTCTTTATCTGGTGATACCACAGTTGAGTGTGACTGAGGGTTTTTGGTTTTTTTTTAAAAAACAAAAAGAAAAAGCTTTTTTTCTTTACCCCTGTATTGATGGAATGGAGTGTTGACATTATCATGAAATTCCTTGCATATCCCCTTAATTGGAGCTGATTTTATTGCTATGTTTGACTGACAGCCAGAAGTGAACCTGAAAAAAAAGAATCCTCTTTGCCTTCCACCCCCACCACATACATCGAGCACGTCATCTGGAAATTCCAGCCTCTCACACTGTGCTGAAAATGTATGCTGGAAACCAGAGTTCTGTGTTTATAGCCCGTGCCAGCCAATGCCATTCACACCCTCACTGCCTTGAACTCCCTCTCTCAAAGAACAACAACCAGGTATTTCCCCTCAAAAATTCACAAAGAGCAGGACAGACCAAGAAAACCAGAGCAATGTGTCCAGCCCTCATCTCTCTGCTTTCTGTTCTACTTTAATGTCAAAATACTTTTGTACACCTAATTAAAGACTTGGAAAGGATTCCATGCAAACAAGTAATTGACAAGTATGCAAGTATAGTATATGGAAAATATTCAAGTCCAAAGGGCTTTGAGACAGTGGTGTTAATTTGGAAGAGTGTAGTCTGAGGTATTTTTAATACAGAGAAGTTGTCAAGTTTCCCAGTAAAAACTTAATAGAAGGCTTCACTGTGTCTTTCCTGTTAGAGATCAGTGTAGACATCAGGATGGTGGGGCTCATGCTGCTCAGCATTTTTGTTCACTGTGCTCCCGTTGTGCCCAGTGCACTTACAAGTTGAGCAAAGTCTCCGGGAAGGCACCAGCACCGTGGTTATTTAGTGACAAAGGCGGCCTTTTGTGACCGGCCCTCTCTTTATGGAGGAAGACAGGCTGAAAGGATAAGTGATAGTGTTGCAATGTGCCCGGCCTTTCAGGACACGCTTCCCGCGGTGTCCCAGCTCCATCCCCGGGCTCCCAACAGGCAGCACAGCCCGGAGAGGGAACGCTGGAGGAGAGGACTCCCCCACAGATAATGGAGCTGTGTGATTATCCAGCAGGAATGTTGGCAGAGAAAGCCCTGACTCCTCAGCCTGGTTTTGAATAGGCTTCAAGATTGATATCAGGAGTATCCCCGGATAGCTTGTGAAGTACCATAACCTTGTAAGCTGCATGGAGGGTGAGGCAGATGTAATTTGGTCCATCTCAAAGAAAACAATTTGTTATGCAGACCAACAAAAACAAAGATTAAAAAAGTAGTTTGGGGCACTCCTGTGCAACAAAGCTATTTGAAGGATAGTCCTGGAAGGGTCTGTTTCTGGACTGTCGATAATGTGACACTGGGCAGTGAGAATGTATCATGATCTAAGACATTTTATGTTTATTTATGCCTTCTCTATATGGTAGTTTAATGTCTCCTTCAAGAGGAGGCTTAAGCAGTCACATTTTAAATACTTTGTGCAGAAATTTAAAAACGTTTGTTGCCTTTCATGTTCACTTAATTTTCTGTTCTCAGACAGCAAACTGTATTTCTAAAGGGTACAGTGGGTTTGCCTGTTACTGTTGGAGCACTCAAAGTCTCATGAGTCAAAAGCAAACCTCTAAGGTTTGTGCTATTCCTCATCAGCTCTGTCACTCAGAATATCTGGGTTCTCCTTTGAACTTTCCTTTGCTCACAGATAAACAGTGAATCATCAGGAACACCTGAATACAGGGAGCTGCAGTCCAGCTGAACAGCAGGTCATTTTCTTAACACAGCCACAGACAAGACAGTGAAGGGAAGAACTGCACAGAGAGAGGTATGGATTGAAATATTCCATGAACAGTGCAAAATATGACAGTGGAGACACACATCATCAGTTAGTTAGGCATTTTAAATAATATGCTCTATACCTTTCTTGGGATATTGAGAGAATATCTGTAGGACAGTAAGTGGTTTAAGTTACAAGAGATTAATTAAGTTTTGTGGAGGTGATGTGGCCAGACAGAAATTCTCAATGTTTTCTGGAAGTACAGTTTTCTCTCTCCAGCTCTTGAGACACTGGATGTCGTTGTTTTGGCAAAACCCTCAAACCATGCTGCTGCTCACTCAGTTTGCCTTATTTTTTATTAATTCCAGATTATATGCAAAATCTTTCTGACAAGTATTTTAGAACCTCCTGGCATGTTCAGGGTGTGTCTCCTGCAATGACAAGCGAATTTGGAATACTGGCACAAAGAAGAGCAGCTGTATTTGACTGTGCAATGCCCTGTGTGGGGAGCAGCCCTGAAAAGAGCATACTGAATAGTGCAGCACAAGTGAAAAGGCAATCCTAAACACAAATTCCTGGAGAGAATCCTAAACTATAAATGGCTCATTTGTTCCACAGGTTAAATCCTGGCCCCATGGAAGTCTGTGGCTAAACTGCTAATATTGATAGGACTGATACACCATCCTATCTGTACTGGGTTTAGGAAGGTGATTTCTTTTCACAAGCATCTTTCGTAGGCAAAGAGGCACAACAGTTGCCCAGGAACAGCTTCCTAAATGCTACCAAAAACACAAAGGAAGGAGAAGGGAAACAACTTCTCATTCAGGAAACACAAGCTGTCCAAGATAGGATCCAAAATATTCCATAGGAGCAGGAATGAATGCTAATGTAGCCTCCCTAAATCCTTACACAGGGCATGTGTGTAGCACCATAAGCTCACAGACTTCTCAGAACAGGTCAGATCACCTTTAGGATTCTTATTGCTGTAGTAGAAAATGCCAGGTTGCAATTCCTCATGAAGCCTAAAAGCAGCAAGAGATTGTGTGATCCAGAAGAACTCACACAACCCACTGCCTGTGCAGTAGGAAGACATTCTGTCTACATCATGCACTGGGACATTCATCTCACTTTGGAAATGAAAGGAGAATCCTGCTGAGTAAATTAGAATCAGTGGTAATACAGCTGTTAGCTACAAACATTTGTTTGGCATGAATCAATCTCAACTCTCCTGTAGTTTGCTTTGATGGTCTCTCTAGTATCTTGTTGACTAATGATGAGATCATGGTTTGTTAATCTAAGTGCATAAAGAAAACATTCTGCCAAGCAAAATGCAGACTCTTTTGCTGGGGTTTATTGCAGTTGTTTATAGACCTTTTGTTTACACAGGCATCCAAACCAATTTGTTGGATATTTATTTGGGTTACTCTACAGAGCTGCCTGAACACAGACCTGAATCCTATCTTAAATCTGTCTGCGTTTTAATGGGTCGTAGTTTGAACAAAGTGGAAACCAGCCACTTAGGATACATTTCTTGTTGGCCAGAACTTCAAATGTTTTCTGTGCTATCTATAATTCTCATCTTGAGAGCATTTAACAACTGGAGGGAGTTGTAGCCAGTCTGATTTGGAGGTTACACATTTGGTTTTAAACAGAAGTTATTAGAACTCATTAAACTTTTGCAACAATCAAAATACAATTTTTATCCCAGGCAGGGCTTTAAATCTGCATTCTAAAATATTTATAACTTCTTACTCTCCATAATCATCTCTAATTTTAAACCCAGAACACACTGCCCTCAACTTCTCCCTGTGTACCAGGAACTTCTGGGTACACCATCCCCACACCAATTCCAGTTCAGGTGGAGCACACAGGTAGTGACTTGGGCAGACAGCTCACAGCAGGAAAATGGCTGTATTTGCAAAGCTTTAGCTGAGCTCACAGATCTGAATGGAAATAAAGGCAAATTAAGAGTAAACCAGTTTCTGATGGCTGCTCTTCTCTGATATTTGAAGGCCTTTCACAACTTTGGCATAGCAAGCGTTCTTTCAGAGAATAAGAAAGTAATATGAAGAAACTCTTTGCATTTCTGGTATGTGTAAAAATTGTCCCCTCATCAGCATTTGTCTTGGAAGTACATAAAACCCACTGTTATTTCACTGGGTGAGAGACTTGTAGAACATCTCTTGTACTTCTGAGCACTGCAGCCTAACAGCAGGCACATGGGAATGCCAGACATCCTTGGACCTGTTCTTAAACTCAGAAATTGTAAATTGCTAGTTCTAATTAAATCATTGCTAATATGTTTCTTTTTTACAGGAACTCAGGCAAGAATATGTGGAACAGTGAGGAAGCTGAGGCAGAGGGGGCAATGCAAAAGGAAAAGGCATGAGACAGAGCTGAGCTTTACCTCTCCCATGCTCCCAGTAAGTGGGAGCTCCACCCTGCAGCTCGGGAGCAGAAGGAGCAAGGAGGAATTCAGTAAGATGTAATGAGATATCTACATTGGTTTTGGGCTTTCAAGGAAAGGTAGAAAAAGGATAGTTAACATGGTCATATTGGCTGGAAGAAAGTTTGGTTATGGCAGTTTAAATTTCATCTGATTGTGGAAGATGAGGAAAAAATGTGTCACTGAAGCCTGAGAGGAGATTGCTGTAATTAGGGAGGATTGTGGATTAGCCCTGGTTCACTAAAACCAACACAGTAAAAATAAACATTTTGGTTTAAATGCCTGTACCAAACAGGCTGCTGAAGAGTGAACTGAAGCAAGCAGAGAAGCCAAGAAAGCTACTGGCATCTGAGGAGGCACAGTATTTTAGGTGGGCTTTCATACTCATGATTTTATTTCTTTCAGTTTGGCAGTTGTCAGAGTGAATCCATAGCCTGCCAGGTGTTTGCAGAACCCTTCCCCTTCCAAGTGAGCTGTGGAGGGAAGAGCTTTGAGGTCCATACACTAGGGGATTGGGAGAGGAAGATGATCCATGGGAGAGTGTGTCATAAGAAGAAGATAGGCTGAGAGATGAAAGAGTTGGCAGACTGTTCTTTTGATGTGTGCAAGCTAACCCATAAAAGGAGAGGCAGCAGGAAGGATGGAGAAAAGTGAAATCAAACAGCAATGGCACCAGAGAAAGTGCTCTTTCTGCTTTTTCATGGATTATTTGGTGGGGCAGGGAGGGGAAGTAAATAGCAGTATTTAAAAAAATATTCAGAGCACCTGAGAATCTAAAACCCAGAGAAGAGAATGCACACTGGATAGCTCTAAACTAGAAATCAGAAGCAGAAGTTGAAAGTTATTTCTGTGTTGTCATTGCATGGGCATGGGATTGAGGCCTGCCAGTCATCAGGAGTGTCAAGAGGCACTGGACTAATGCACGGGTGACAAGGCCATTGGCACATGGAATACAAGTGTCCCCATGCACCTCTGGGCTCTGGAAGTGTGGAAGTCAGTGACTGTCAGAAGCTGTGAGGCTGCAGCAAGGAAAGGATCACTCTGCACATGGATCACTCCTTCTGTGAGCATCTGGTACTGGTCCTGTTGCAAGATAAGGTGTGAGGCTCTGTGGTGTGCCTGTGTCAGGCTTTATTGAGGTAAGGCTGTGAACTTGGCCTTTTGGCTTGTATTTCTATGGACTGGGTTCTACAAATACTGGAACACATTAGCATTCTTTTTTTTTCTTTTTTTTTTTTTTCTGTTTTCTGCCTTTCAAGAATTACTGCAGAAAAAATAGTAATAGTCAATTTTCTGATTTTTACAGGCAAACGGAGAGTTTTCATTAGCTATATGTATACCTCAAAGGTAAAGAACTTAAAAAAAGGAACCTCATGGTGAAAACTTGAGAAAAACCTGTGCTTCATAATCTCAATTTGAAGATTTTTGTGTTTGTACTAGTAAGTTTTATCATTAACTTGCCCATCATGAACTGCCTTAACTAGCACATGGATGGAATGGAGGAATGGAGGTTTTATACACCTGATGGCTATTGGAAATCCCCATCACTGGAGTGTACAGTTGACATGCTTCAGGCAAGTACTAGAGAGACAAAATATTTCCATTATTATTTCACTAGAAATTGAAATCTGCTTTGGAGGAGTCAGAGACTCTAGTCCGGCTGATATCAGAACGTGGTGTTTAAAATGTTACAATGTTGACTTGCTGTTACAAAAATTCAGTGTTACAGGAAATCAGAAACAATATGGAATAGTTTACACTAACTCTGCATTAAAACGATCCATCTGTTCTTGCTTTAGGTTCTTAGAGAATTGCTTTTTCATCTCTGTAATGCTTTTCACTTCCTATTAGTAAGGCTTTTAAAGGTAGGCACTGAGTTAGTATAAAACCCACAGCTTTTGAGTTTAAACGCCTATTAAAACTAAAGCTGTCTGGAACTACAATAAAAATTTATTTTGGCTACAAGAGACAACTTTGAAACCTAACCCATCTGTATTTTTCCTCTTCCAAACAGTGCAACATCCTGTATAATAGAATATTTATCTTAAACAGAGACCACATATCTTTATAAAAACAATTGTTTCAACTTAATTTATGGGGGGTAATCAACTTATATTAAAATTTTCAGTATTCCAGGATGCTAATCTTAATTGGATGCAGGAGATGTAATGACTATAATAATTCTATAGAATAATCTGAAATCTGATGTAGCCATTGATTTAGAATGTAACTTGTGTATATTAGAATCTGAAGTTGTCATTAAAAATCATGTGCAGGCATATAGTAATTGCAAAACACCTGTGTGTGCAAATTAGGCATATGACTGCAGCTACATTTTACTGGTAATTTTGGTTAGTGTGTGACTTGCAAACTCAGTTACAGAATAATTCCACCAGAATAATTTATTTGAAATAATTGAGCTGGTCTCTGCAGTCCTTGGGCCCACCAGGGAGATACCCACACATATCTAGCAGGGCAATGGTCAGTGAATTTATCGATGCAAATCAAAAAGCAAATTGCCTCACTGTAAAGAGCAGTATCCCTTCCACTGCCACGAGTGGGAGTCAAACATCCCAAAGGGAGACTGGATCCCTGGGGTTTGGCTCCCTCCATACAATAGTTTGTCAGATTCTGAATTGAAAAGGGCTGGGTTTAGCACTCTCTAAATATAACCAGCCCTGAAACTCCCACAGAGATTCCTTTCTGTCTGCCTTCAGACGATGAGATAAGGCCCCTTCTCCTGTGACTTCAGTCTGGAGTACCTCTGTCATCCCCACCCCAGCCCTGATAACAGCCAGCTTGGCACATATTTGAGAGCAAGATGTGATGAGAGTTTTGGGGGTTAGTCTTGCTGTAGATTGCAGCCTTCATCTTCAGAGTGAGCCTCCTCTAACATCTGCAGCATAGACTTCTAGCAAAGCATTTTGGCATCCAGGAGACAACTGTCTCCCTTCATCCTCTAGCCAGCTTCTTTCCATCATTTTGGGAACTGAAACCTTGGACAGTCTCCTTTTCTCCCTGCATTCCTTCCTTTTTAGGCCTCCTCCTCATCCTCAATATACTTGTATGCAGCATCAAAGTTGAAGTATATTTGCACAATTTGCTCCCTTCCTCTCCCTTTCCCCCAAGTACAGCAGGATACACAAATTATGGATGTTAAAGCAGCACTTATGTGTGCTATGATATACACGGGATGTTCTGCCTACTTGCATGTGATTCACATCCTCATAAGCCCACAGGAAATCCCAGTAATATTTTTCCAGGCATATCTCCTGTGCTGAGGTGCTGAGCACAGCAGGGGCTGGAGGAAAGGAGCTGCTTGTGCTTGGGAAGTCCTGTGGTACATAAGTTTAGCTGGGAAGCACAGACCACTGTTATTTAGATGTAGCTCTTTTACCCAGTGGCAGTAAGAAATGCAGCACAAGGACTGAAGTATTTATTCATGTTTTACAGTAATGTGTGAATCCTCTTACCTCAGTGGATCCAGTGAAAGCAATTTTGTCAATGCCGACATGAGAGGCTATGGCTGCACCAACAATTGGACCAAATCCTGGCAAAATATTGACAACTCCTGGTGGAAAGCCAGCCTGTCAAAATAGGAATGAATGAAGGTAAGCATGACTTGTGAGAACTGTTAGAGCACGTTAAAGCAGGCGTGTGCTGGTGGTTCCCTCCCCAGAAGGAGAGACAGACATCACTCCCCTCAATTATTCTTACCTCCTTGATGAGGGCACCCATATAGAGAGCACTGAGTGGTGTTTGTTCTGCTGGTTTAATAACTACTGTATTGCCACAGCACAGAGCTGGAGCAATCTTCCATGCAAACATCAGCAGGGGGAAGTTCCACTGTAGGAAAAAAAAAGTTGATAGATGGAAAAATATTGCCCTGGTGTTTTGTTTTCAAGATGTCAAGCTGATACCTCACTTATTTCTCAGGCTGATCCTCAACATAAATCTTTCCCAGCACAAAGCAAGGATTTTTTTAAAATAACTGCCATTAAGAAAGCAACAGCAGTGACTTCTTAGTGCTTTCTTTCCTGTTCAAGGAAATACAACCCCCACCTGCAATCTCCATAACAAAAGTTCTATTATCTATTAATTTTTTAAGTCACAACTTTATTTATTTCATTTAGTGTTTTGCTATTGGCACTTTTAATTCCCCCATGAAAATAGGTCTTGCTTCTGATACATTTGGAACTGTTTGTTCATGTTGAAGTAGTTTTGGATGTAAATTTCATATCCCTGAATACATCTTAAGATATAAAATTTATACTCAAAATTATATAATCCTTAATTGATGGAATTACAGTAAAAAGTCCATAGATGTCAATGTTCAATCAAAGTATTTAATTTTCTTGAAGACTTTTTACTGAGAAATCTATATGGAAGATGTTAAAAGGACAGTAAAAAACAAGTTGAGAAATGCTTTGCTGCTATAAAATTTTGTATTGTCATTCATTATAACTTCACTGAACTGCAGCAGATGATCTAGTGAATTATATTAGTTTGATCCATAAACATGCCTTGGATAAAAATAAAAGTAACAAAGGCCTGATCCTAGCAAGTTAAGTGGATAGTCCTGCTGATTTCAGTGAAAATGTCAGAGTAATAAAATAACTGTGTTTCCACAATCACTCTTACAAATGCATACAACAGTCTCTTTTAGACAGAGAATAGAAAATATCAGTCAGAGTCAGCCACTGGCCAGAACGTGTTGCTGCCTGATGCATATCAGCTGCCACTCTCAGACATCTCTCTAGCCCCTGGCTAGCTTGAAAAAATACACAACTGTCTTTCCTTCACAGAACACCCAATTTTTTACTCCCTCTGTTGTTTATAAACTCCGGAGACAAAGTGATGTTTTAATTCCATCTCCAGTACATAAACCTGGGAGGGGAGCTGTCGGGCAGCAGTGTGCTAACAGCCTGCACTTCTAATGGCATTGCAAGGAGAGCTCACAGCAGTTTTATAGGGCACTATATAGCCCTGTTTATGCTACAGCACTGCCAAAGAGCATGTTTTGATGGAAGCTGGGATGTGAAAGAGGATGAGGAGTTCAGTGTTAGACTTGCTGTTTAATTTTATTTTTGAATAATGTATTTGCTCAGGCAGTGGCCAAGCACATGCAGCAGCCTGGGCTGTGCTCTGGGACTGGTAGCGTGGAGGAAATACAGAACAGATCTGCAGTGGTGTTAGAATGGATGGATATGACAGCCATCTTCAGGCTCTGGAGAACAAAACTAGGGAAGAATGAACATGTATGGTAGATGGCTGGGTACCCTGAACAAAGCTTTACACATCTGAACTAAATAAATCCTGCTTTTGGCATGATCCTTAGCCTGTGGCCAAGTTTCTTCAGCAGGTTAAGCTCAGTGAAACAAGCATAAGAGATGTCCAGCAATGCTGGGGTAAGATGTTGGGGTTGTCATTTAGTAAATGCTTATCTATGTGCCTGGCTGAGGAACAGGAACAGAGCTGTGGAATCTTTCATTCATAAGGACCAAGTTGGGAGAGTGTGTAGGTGTTTGCAGGATGGCTGTAGCCACAGACTCCCTGAGTCATTGCATGTTTCTCTGGGTTTCTGCTGAGTGCCAAACACAAAAGCCACCCCTTTACAAAGACATGGAATAGCAACAAATATAAATCAGGAAAAAGGGCTTAACATTGTTAGAGTAAGCTTTTCTGGCTGCTCCTCTTGTAATGGAATTGCTCCGTGTTTCTGTTTAGTGGCTTTGTGGTGATGTGAACAAAATAAAAAATCAACATCAACAAAAAATTTCAGAGAATGGTCTGATTAGTCCCTCAGTGTTTTGTCAAGCAAAAAAGCTTCCATGCAATATTTTAATAGCTGTATGTGAGCCTCCCATTGAAATTTCTGCCAGAGCTGGTTAACTGGCTCTTCTGAAAAAAAAAGTTACCCTCTCAGTGCAATTCCCATGCAGTGTTCAGCAAGGTTTTATTACGAGGGTGTCTGCTGGGGTGTAGGGGGAGTATTGGATTTGATGAAATGATGTGTTTCTGTCTCCCAACAAATAAAACAAACATTTCATGTCTTCAATTAGCTACACAATATTAATTGTAATGATATGTCTCCTGGAGTTTCCTTTTCTCCTCCAGCCTTGTAAAAGAAATAGCAGGAAAGAATGGAATTAAAATACATCACATTCTCCCAGGAACTGAGGAGCCTGTTAAATCACAGTAAAAACTAAATAAATAAAGAGACTACCACAGCAAAGCATCAATTTTCCATAAGTTGTGTGAACATCCATAACCACTGACAGCATATTAACACTGTGTTTTGCTTTGCTTGTTTTAATCATGTGAATTCTATGACTTGAGAACTTAACTCCTAATAACAGAGCCTAAACCCTATTAGCATGTTCAAATAAGCATTTGTGGGGAGGCTGTTAAAGATATGTCAACAATATGAGCTCAGCTTTTTTCGTAATGGAAAACACACATAGCTGAAGACCATGTTTTATGTGTCTTTAAAGAGAGCTGGTTCAAATGAAAATAAATAGAAAGCACTAGTAGAGATACTCACAGGGATGATCTGTCCACACACTCCGATGGGTTCATGTCTTGTAAACGTAAAATAATCTCCATCTGAAACAGATGAGCATGCTTACTCTCAAGTGCAGTTTGACTTGGCAGAACAAAAAAAAAATTAAAATAGAGGGAGGGAAAAAACTCTAAGGATCAGCCTTTGATGGCAGTAAAAGAAATAAAGAAGTCATGGAAGTGGTTTTTTGTGAGCCAGCATGGGAAACCTAGGTTCAGGAGCAACCTAATTGTTCTTTCTGTAGAACAAAGGAAGCAGGCTTCCCATCAGAAAGTAACCTGCTTTGTTCTTTGGCAAAGGGCTGTACTGCACACAAAATTGCAGTAGCATGGAAGCACTTACTGGCCTCAGCTGATTTAAGGGTGAGAGAAGTGAAGAGTCACAAAGGTTATTTGCTGAAAGGCATGAGTGGAACACAGCAATATAAAGGTGTATCTACAACCCAGGTGTGGGTAATAGAGTAACATTCAGCTGACTCATCTGCCATTGAGGACACAGGCAGTGTGATGGGATGATCTACCACAATCTCTAGATGTGGCATGAAGAGGGAAAGTTTGTGACTTGTGTCACTGAGCATCATTTACTTCCTGTGGTCTGGGAGCACATGCAGGCTTGTTCCCAGTTAACAGAGCCAGAAAGGGACCTGCTGTGTGGGCACCAGTTAAAGGATCAGTTGAGGTACTGTCTAACCAGTAGCTTTGTTAGTGTGCTCGGCCTGCATCTGTGCAAGGTAGATTTACTGCACCTTTGGACCTCAATTGAGTCTCCTAGCTGTACAAACTAGCCCAGATTCAAACTATCTCTGAATTTAGGTCAGATGTGTTTCAGTGAGGCCACAGCTGAGGGAAAGGCTTTGCTAAAGGCATGAGCTGAATGTGCCCCTTGGCCTGTAGTGCTTGGTCATCTAGAAAAACGCAAATCTCTTAACTTGGGAAAATAATTTCAGCTAAGTATGTGAGAATGATGAGGTTACCTAGGCTTAATGGCAGGAGATGATTTACCAGGATAAGAAATGGTTAGACAGCGGAAAGGAGTAAGAGGAGGAGGAGGAGAGATTACAGGGCTTTTGCTGCCATTGTTCTGTCTGACACAGGGTATGTGCTTTCCCTCCCAGTCTGGGCTGGGAAGTGGCTGCCCCAGCCTCTCCCCCGTTCAGTCCAGAGCTGCAGCCACCCTTGTGCAATACTGGGGAAGGGCCTGACTTCACAATGGACAGTGTGTTTTGGGAACCTGCTGCAATATCCTCTAAGATATTTCTGGTAACAGTGAACAGTTAATCCTTAAAGTTTCTTGGGTTTAAGGAAAGACTTCAACTTGAATTTGATTAGAAATAACTTATTGTCAGGTCTGCTTATTTCTATCCATCTACTTTACAGGATTTGCTCAGTAGAAACCTGAGCTAGAGTAGCTAATATGTCAGCTGGGGGCCAGATACAGAATAATTATGAGAAAGGTAACAACAGTCTGCAACCAAGACAGGGACAGAACAGAGAAAATAAAGGAGGGAGGGAAAGAGAGAGGAGAGATTCAGGAAAAGGCAGAAGAAAATAGTTTATCAGTTAGTTTGCTCTGCATTGACAAAACATCATAGTAAAGTTTTGATCTCCAGATGTTTGACAACTGCCCAGTGGAGGTGAGAATATTTGTGTCACAGACTAAGATGATCAGTTTGGTTTTCCAGGTTATCTTTCACAGATGCTAGCAGAGGTTCACAGACCACAGGAAGATTCATCAGATCCCACAGAAGCAAAGTAGAAGTCAAAATACAGAGAAGTACATACAAGAAAACTGTCTAAGTGCTCAAGGGAACACAGAGGAGTCAGCTAAAAATACCAGTTTGTACTCAGTAGTACTGTGAGAGGTGGGTTCTCAGCCAGAAGGATGGTGGCAACATAACAGTAACACAGTTACATTAGCACTGTCTGACTTTAGATTGTCACTGCATAATCACTGCCACATGTCTGCGTGCTTCATCACACAGAGTTATAGATAACCTGGACCTCTTGCCAAGGCAGACAAATGGTGGTTAATTCTGCCCAGCGTAGGCAGAACGTTCTTTCCGCAGAGCGGTGCCTCCCATGCAGAGCTGCTCTCCCTGCTGTCTCCCACTAGACTCTAGACAGCTGCCCTTTTTGACACCTACTTCCAAAGTTCATCATCCACAGATTTTCTGTCAAGATGGGATTTTTGAAGTTGCTTTCTAACAATATCTTTGGGAACATATGTGACTTGAAGATATTTAGATGCCTTGGTTGTCTCTGGACAGGCCAAAGGTGGATCTAAGAGCCACCTTGTCCATAATGTAGAACAAGCTGTTACCATGAGAAAACAGCTCAAGAATTAAATGACCTTAATTCCATTATTCTAAACAGTGAACACAGAAAGGTCCCTTGTGCTTAGAAATTATACAGGAGACTTTTTAAATGTTTGAGAGTTTTAAGTCATGCTAATGACCCTTATTCTAAGATGCTGTGGCTGATGATTGTTACTCTTATCCTTTCCTAGCTGGCTGCCAGAAGAACTTTGCCTGAGAGGGACCTGACTCTGATCCCACATCCAATCTAAAATTTTGTGTTAAAAGGGTATTTTTAATATACGCAGCTGAAGTAAACTGACATTCTTCAGTCCTCACTGATATTAATAGAGCAAGATCAATTTGCAGCTGCTTAGCACCTGGCCCAAAGGCTTTCATTTTTTAATCAGAAAGCAAGTCCCATTTATCCAGGGATCTCACTTAGGGACAGCAATATCTTCCACAGATGTGTTTGCTTAGATTTCCATCAGGAGTCTCCAGCATGGATATTTTATTTGCATAACAACCATAATACAGTCCCATGTCTCATATAGCAGGACACAGCAAACAAGCGGGTGAGGAGAGCTGAATTGGTTCTTTAAGCTATATCATAGCATATATTGCTTTAAAGATACATTTCTGCTTGCATTCAGTTTATTAGTTTAACAGTTTCTGGTCTAGCCTCATTCTGTTTCAATTTAAATCATCAAGGCTTTACACTTGGGAGCAAGCAAAGGGCAGTCTGAAGGTTTTGTAGCTCTGGGGCCAAAAGGAATGTGACTGTAAAACACACTTCTTCTTCTACTTGTCTATCAATTGCCTATTTTTATTTTAAAGGAAAAGATAACTTCAACAAAAACAGCAACAACAAAAGATTGGGAGGTTTCAGATTTATTAGCACACTGAATAGAAAGACAGGATTTAATAGTGGGGTTTTTTGGTTTTGTTATCTTGCTTATCTTTGGTGAGCTGATGGTAAGTGAATGTAAAGAACACTGCTGTTTAACATTGGCTTTGCCCTAAAATAGCTTCATGAGAATGACAAATTTATGGTGCAAAAGCAGAGGAATAAAGAGAAGTGTTAAATGAAGAATAATTGGTCCCCTAAAAATCTGTGAATGGACTTACGATTCTACACTACTGAAAACTGTGTTAGCACAAAGTTTGCACTGAGGGAGGCGTGCTGAAAATGTGCCTTCCTTTCACTCAGCATAGTCCACCTTACTGAAAAAAAAATCAGGTTTTATCCTATAAGGTACTTGAAACCAAGAATAAGCAGAGAATATTTATTCTTCTTAATCTGGCAGTGCCTTTTGGTGGCTGACCTAATTTCTGTGTACCTGTGGGGCTAAAAAGTGAGAAGGAGGCATTCACTGACCAGGGAGAAAGAGATTAGGGAACAGGAAATTTGCTGAATACGTGAATTTATGGTGTGGTCTGCACTTTTGTATGATTAAATGTGAAGTGCAAGCAGCAAAACTGGGATTTACGAATCTCAGCCTAAATAACTGTGGAAAACTTTGACTCCTTCCAGAAATGTCTCCACCTGAAATATTATTATTGTCATTTCTTTGGTGAAAATAAGATAGTGAAGATAAACACCAGTCAGTGCACGCTGCAATTTTAATAAGATGAAACACGAAGATGAGTAAAACTGCAAGAATAGTTACATGATGTTTCCCTCCTGAAAATTTTGGAGGCATATTTTCAATTTATCTGCTTGCCTCACTTGGGTAGTTTGGTGCTTTGCTATAGAGAGGCGAGTGAGTGCATTGCAGATACTGTGTCCCACAGGGAAACAGCTGGGCAGCAGCAACAGGCATCTACCCTGAGTGTGCCCTCCTGGGTAAGTGGAATAAACATGCAGGACTGTGCCCTTACTGGGTAAAGTGGAATAAACATGCATGTGCAATGAACATGTGCACCATGAATCCACATAATGAATACTCGTTTTCCTTAATGTTTTTCCAGAGATATACTTTATGCAGGTGAAAGATGAGTACACTTAATGACTGCACCTACATAAAATAATTTTCTTCTGTTTTGCCATGTTGTGTAATTATAACACTTGGTACATATAGTCCAGACTGCAAATGAATTTGTTTTCATCAGACAATGCACCCTGTGTTTGTTCAACAGCTGGGAGGGAGGGGCAGGAGGAAGAAATTTGTTAAATAAAAATAATGGTAAGGATTTTTCTGCATCTTTTTAGCAAAAGAATAAGAACATAATTTCCTAGCATGCATGAAAGTTTATCTCATATATACAATATAAAACTTATTCCACTGAATAATTTGAAAAAGCATCTATAACAAAATATATCTCATATGTATGTAGTTCTCTATAGTAACAGTAAGAATGCTCTCAAAGTATAAATTAAGTTTGATCCAGTGTTAGTCCAAGCTAAAATTATTTGCATCAGCAGTAAGAAGTCTTATACAAACAACATCTATACATAATGATACTGTTTCTTAAACAGGTACCCAACACTATTTTCATGAGTTCCAAGGTATTTTTCAGGCTTATACCCCATACATTTTTATACATGTATCAATATTTAAATGTAGGTATTGAGCTATCCCCTTCTCAGGTGGATGCATGCAAAAGAAACCAACCCTCCTCACATGTGCATGTGGGCAGACCAAGAGCAGGGCACCCAGTCCTGCCTTGCTGACCTTCCAATATCTGCTTCAGCAGCACACCACACACTGCAGGAGCAACCCGGGCTCCTGCTCTGCCTTCCACAAAGCTGTGAGCTACTAAGCTTTAGTCTGGCCATGAGAAGGTTTAGGTGCATAGCTGTGCTTTAGTTCCCCTTACCTACAGGAATGGTCATTCCATGGATTTTGTCTGCCCAGCCAGCATAATACCTCAGGGTTTTTATGACTCCCTGGAGATCGACATAGAAAGCTTGCAAGAACGGTTTGCCGCTGTTCAGTGATTCCATAGTCTGCAGGACAAGAAAAAGTTAAGAGATCTAAGTATTGTAACATTTTTGCACTATTGTACCTAAGTATTCACCATCTTAACAGCTCTTGAACCATAACAAAGATTTTAATGAAGACCAATCAGTTGCACCTTGGTGTAATTTTAACCCAGAAGGTTCAGAACAATTCTCTGATCCCCTTTGTTACTTTTGGCAAATGTGAACAAAAAGTATTTTCCTTGAAAAACCCAAACTGGTTTCTTCTGGAGTATTCTGGAATAGCTATGATTTTAAGAATATATGTGTATGTTTATGTGTGTTTGTCTGTCCGTCTGTCTTGTGGATTTATGTGTATCCACATGCATGTACATGTGCCTTTGTGTACTTTGAACCTAATAGCCACTGTGTTTGGTCCAGATCTATAAATGCTGAATTGCTTTAATCAGGAGCCAAGATAAAAATGCCTGTCAAACTGGGTTCTGTTATGTTAATGATAACAGCTGAGAAGGGGCTCCTTGTAGCCCTGTATTAATGATCTGAATCCATAAAGAGAAGAATGGACACATCCCTCTTTATATAATTGATGTGAATATAAAAATTTCTCTATATGGTTGCCAAGACTCCTGCTGAGGTCTGAGATATCTATACTGTACAGCCAGTTTATTTATTGCCATCAAATAAACAAACTTTCCTCTAGGGAAGCTCATAAATTAACAAGCTATCTTTATTTTTTAGTTAATATTCCTATTTTTAAAAGTATCTTATAAGCTATCCTCTTAGGGGTTCCTAAGATCATTTAGCAAAAAAAAATCCAATAAAATATCCTAAGATGTTGAGTAGCTTAACTCATTCTCAATAGCTGTCCAATAGAAATCATTAAGAATGGGCAAAGGACGCCCCTGTGTAACACACCAACCATCAAATGAGTTTCTATAGAGAAGAATGGAGGCTTAATTCTGCACTGACTTATATCCCCAAGAGCAATTAATGGCACTGCCTGCAGTGCAGCTCAGTAAAGAACTTGGCTCCAGAAATAAAAATTAAATGACAGGCAGAGTAAACTTGATTTGCTGTGCACTTCCTTCTCCCCATGGCGATTTTACAGTATCTGCCGGCGGTAAGATGATTTAAGTGTTGACAAAGCTGGAATTAAGATGTTCACGGGCTTAGTTCAAAGCACTTGACATGCGGAAAACAACATTAACAATGCCACTGTTGTGACGGCTTCACCCTGAGCGCAACGGAGCCGCGCTCGGATCCTGTCACCAGCTGAGGGTCCCACAGCACCTCGCTGCCCTTCCCTTCCCTTCCCGCCTGCACAGATCATCCCAACCTGCCTTGTCTTATTCTAGAAGAGTTCCAGGCCGGGCACACACGTGTGCACGCCCCTGCTGTTGTGGGATGTCCAATTCAAAGCTGGTCTGAGCCCGCTGGAAGCCTCTTGTTGGCTTTTATGGGTTTTGCACCGCGCTGTGAATGGACAGAGCCATTTCAGCCAGGCAGCTGCGTGTGGCTTTCACATACAATTCATATCAACCCAATCATGAATGATTTGGCCCTCAGAATGTAACTGACCATCAGTGTGACAACTGATTTGACTGATTTTTATGTTTCACTTACAGCAAGAATTGCCCTGTCCCTTTCCACCAAGTCTGCTAACTTATCCAAAAGATGGCCTCTTTCTGAGGCATCCATTCTCCTCCAAACAGAGCCAAGGGAAAAAGCCAGCCGAGCTGCCCTCACTGCCTTGTCCGTATCAACCTGGGAAGAAGGAAGAAGAAAATTGAAGACACAAGGTAAATAACACAATCAGGCTTATGGAATTTGCTGTTATACAACCTTAGTCACATGTGATAGGTTTTGGAACTATGACTAATGAAAGAACTGTCCAACAGTGCTATTCTGGACTGGTTGCTTTGATCTATTTGTACATTTGTATTATCTGTTATACATTTAATTTATACATTAAACATATAGCCATTCATGGGATGCATTACCTTGTCAGCTTCCTGAATGTCACAGATTTGTTCTCCTGTTGCTGGATTATATACTGGGAATATTCTTCCACTTTCAGAATTCTGCCACTCATTATTGATGAAAATCTAGAAAAGGAAGAAAAGTCATCAGGTGTTTTGCGTGAACAAACAATAATGTATATAACAACAAACTCATGAGAAAAGCTGCAGATTCTAATACAAAATATCTGAAACTTATTTTTGTGTGTGAAAATTACAGTTTTCAAGAGTTCAGGCTGAGGTCAGCCCCTGATGTCTTTCTGTATTCTATAGCAGTGTCATTATAGAAGCAACATCAAAGTCTAAACATTGGTTGATGTTCAAATTTGGTTCAAAAACTGTAACAAATAAACTAAAAAAAGAAATAGCTGTATGAGAGAAAAAGCCTTGAAACTGCTGGAGACAAGACAAGGATTTGGAGTAATCACTCAGTTCAGTAAGTAAACATTTAGTCACTGATACATCCCAGTCAAGGCTGAATAATCTCAAACATCACAGTTCTTCAATACACAGTCAGTTAATTATGGCTACAGTGACGGCTTGCAGCACAAAACTAACTTGCTTATCTGCTAGGAACAATGGAAATTGTTACATTCTCTCAGTGTTGATATTTTAATTGTCAGGGGCAAAACAAATTTAAATGGTAATGGTGCTGACAACAGCTGTCTAGAGAAAGGTAATGACAAATGAGTTTATTTAAAGTAGATTTTTACTGGTAGCTGCATACATGTCTGTTATTTTCTGCTGAAAGACTTTTAAGAACAGGATGCAATTATTTATTAGCAAGTATTAAAGAAGTCACTACATGAAAATAAACAAAAAGTTTTCCAGGTATTCAGACTCAAATCTTTCTAAGAATAAAAGTGCTCCAAAAATCCAGGCATGACTTGGGTTCCTTGAAGTCCAGATATCAATGTATTTTTATTGGATTCTGTGAAATACAACTTTAAATGTGTAAGATGATGTCCTGGCCTCATTGAAATATACCAGAATTTTGCCCCTGACTCCACTGAAAGCAGGAGTTCACATGTAGAGAGAAGCAATGTTCACCACCTGGTTTGTTTTCTTTTTGCATACAGGGCTGTGTTTACAAAGACGGGGACCTTGGAAAGCTTGATGAGTTCCAATCAGAGATACACAGGTGAGAGAAACTGGCCCATCTTTATACACAGAAGGCAAAAATACGTCTGTAAAGTTTTCAGTTACCAGACATGAGCTTGCTCAAACCTACTCTGCAAGCCAAATGGAGGTGCTGTAGCTGTGCTCCTCTCAGCAGGGCTTGTCAGCTCAGTGCCACAGTAGCTGCAGTGTCACAGCTCACTCGTGTCCAGCTCACTGTGGCCATGTGTGGGGGGAACCTGTGCCTGCCTGGAAAAGACCCTGCCAATAGAACTGTACAGGAACCAACAATTCCATGTGCTTTTGCTATTATGGATGCATTTCTGTTGTGCTTCCTCATCTTCCCTATTCCTCAAACTTCAACCTCTTTGCTGTATGCTCCTCCATCCATTCCAGAGTCTGTCCTTTCTTTACTCCTCCTTGCTCCTTCTGTTTAGGTTTTCAAAGGTTGCTGAAGTCAGGACCTACCACACCACGACCACTGCTTTCCTTGCCTGCCCTGTTTATCCTGAACCTGTTTGCATACTTGGACTGTGTCTCAGACTGCTCAGTGATGACACTGTTCAGCAAACCCAAAACTGGTCCCTGTTAGGACATTCTGGAGCTAACCCAAAATTAGATAGTGAAAGAATCACCAGTATGTTCTCTAGTGACCAATGCCATAAGCTGAAATCCTCTGGTCTATCATTGTCACTTTTAGACCCTTAGTGAAGCAAAGAAACACTGAGATCTGTGAGTCTGTGAAGAAGGAATTTACTTCATGCTAACTCTGCACCCAGTGAGTGTGTCAGGGGGTGCTGAGGAGGGAGGGGAAGGGAGAAAACTTCCAGCTTCAGGAGCAGATGGCCAGAGAAGATGTAAGCATGTTTGTTTAAGGTGACAGGATGTACATAAACACATGGGCTTCTTGTGTGAGCTGCATTGAAAGAATAAAGCAGTTTGGTTGAGTACAAGAACCTGAGAAATCGTAGCAGCCACAATTCAGTACATTTCCCTTAGAGCAGTGGTCTATTCTTTTTTAGATTAAAAAAACTTAACTCCATTCTGCTGGGATTAACACCTATCATCAGGTCTGCTAGTACACAGGGCATATATTAGTTCTTGAAATACATTTCACCATGGGAATGAGAAATAGTGCTGTGGAATTACAAAAGAGTGCTGCAATTCAAGCTGACTGGAAGGAAAAGCTGTATGGTTTTATTGAATGCTCCATTTATCCCACTGACTTAGAAAAAGAACAGTAATAGTAAATATTTCAGATAGGACATGGGAAGGATCTATTTGGTATAAAGTTAGAGCTGAAAGCAAGAGAAATTGCTACTGTTAATGGTTAATGTTAGTTTCTTCCTGTTCCACTTTCTATAAACAAGGTATTGCCTATACAAGCTCATTACTGTAAACTGAGCACATTTAAATTGGCAGTAAAATCAGAGTATTTACTCTAGTGCACAAATAAAGTACCTAGTCCTATGTTTTGGAACAGTTTCAAGTCTTGAAATCCAGCAGCTGGCGGCTTTACAAGCAAAGCCTTACACTTAAATAATTCACTTTTGAAAGTTTTAGGTGTTCTGTGTCAGGTAGTACCATTCAGCAGATATTCCTACCACCGAGACGCAGATTCTTTTGCAATAAATTTGCATTCACAGGGGCTTTTATAACTCTTCCAGCACTACTGACTCCAATGGCTGTTGATTAAATGTATATATCCTGTACATTTAATCTGACTTTCATTATGGCCACTTCGTAAAAATGCCATGAATTGGAGAAGCGATGACACATGGCAAGAAAAAGGAATCCCTGCAAAGCCTCAAATTGGGTTTTTTTCTCCCTTATTTATAGTGATCATGCTAAAGGCTAACTCTAAATCAGGGGGAATATTTGACAGCAAATGTTCCTATCTATGGATTATATATAACCCATCCTAAACACCAGATAAAAAAGGGGTAACCTTAGAAAAAGAAGGGCTTGCTTCCATGTAAATCATGCTACAAATTGGACAACACCCAGTGAGTTCATTGTTCAACCTCAATTGTGAAGGCTATTCACATTTACTATTCCCCTGGAATCAATGTTAATTAAGGCTGACTGGGGCTATAAATCAGCCTTTGGTTTTTACAACTTAATTCAGCATTAAGCATATATATGTAAATAAAAGGTAACTGATTAACCACTTGAGTTTTCCAGGAGTTACTGAGGTAATTTGTTTTTGTTTGAGTCCTAGTGTTACCTTTTGTGATATGCAGTAGGGAGAAGAAAAAGTCTATAGTGTGTCATGCATTTGCTATGTGGTATTGTGGCAGTTAAATAACCTGGCCTGTTGGGTGCTATCAATAGCATTGTGCCAAAAGGCAAAGGGAAGAAGGGAGCACTTGAAAAATCTTGGAATACACAAACATTTTGTTTGCCGTTTACTCTCAGCAGAGGCAGTAATGGCAGTAATGTCAGAGCAAGAAGATAAAAGGACAACTTTGCTGCTGTACTGAGGTGTCCCTGGCAGTGCAGTGATTTAGCCAAGAACAAACCCAAGAGGCCAAGCAGCCGAGGCTGCTGTGAGTGAGTCTGCTGTGAGTCTGGCTGCAGCTGGTGTGAGGTGGGCAAAGGAGGAAACCAAATACCTTTGTTTCCCAGTGATGCCAAAGGGGCCAGCAGAGCAGGGCACTGGGGGTGCAGGTGCTGGGGCTGGGGGGTGGCAGGGGCTGTTCCAAGCAGAGCAGTGTGACAGGCTGGGTGGGAGCTCCCAGCTGCCCCTTGGAGTGTCATCATTCTCACAAGATCTCAACACACACATCTCTGGGCAATTTCTGTTCCTTTCCAAATGAAAGATGGAAAGGGTATGGATTTTCCTAAGAGAATAGTCACAATCCTCCTGGTACTGACAATAACTCATGTTCTCACAGATCTTTCACTAGAACTTTGCAAGAAGATGGTCCCACCATGTATTCACTAGGTTCAAATCCTGCCTGTGGCTAATTATATATGGCCTCTGTTGACAGAGTTCCACAGGGCTGATCAAGAAAGCAGCCTGACTCATCTTGCAGGTCAAGTGACTGTTCAGAGCCTTGGAGATACCTCAGCATACCAAAAAGTATAGAAAGGAAAAGTAAACTCCAAAGTTACAATGTAAAAATTCCAAGTTACTTTGAAACTGCTGACATGTAGTTGGAAGAAAATCATACATTACATTTTTCACAAGACCTGTATTTCACAAGCATTGCACACTGAGTTCAGTTGCATTTTGGATGCCCATCAGTTTTGAAATCAAGCCAAGAGCAAATGTTTTAGCATAACACAAAGCAAATTTAGCTTTGCAAATAAACAACTACAATCTCTTGTTTCAGTAGCCATCCATCCCAGCTGGCTTAATAATAATTAGCAACTTAATGTTCATTTTAAACCATGCAAGTAATTGGAGTGATAAGTATTCAAAGAGGAAGGGATGTGTACAAACCCAGGCTGGGCATTCTGATCTGCAGTGCAGCAACAGCAAAATTTAGAGCAGGGAGAAAATGTGGTTTTGTCACTTACCAGCAAGGAAGTACTAAACAACTAACTTTATGAGTGTGTGTATAAATATAACTAATTAAAATAAAGTACAGAACTAATACCTCCTTTGCAGCTCTTAGTTGATGGAGCTTTAGTTTCATGGCACTTCAGATTCCCTCTGCTGTTGAGCCAGGGGCTAGCCCTGGATTTGGGAAATGGAACTGATTTTTACACTCACTGGGGATTCCTGCATGCTCAGTGCCTCTCTTTTTTTGTATTGCCTTTCCTTAAAACATACAGGGGAAAAAAATTTTTTTTGGGCTCTCTTAATTCATAAGAGTAATCAACACAGGTGGCAACAATGTAACTTTTCATTTCCTTTCTTGAAAATGTTCTCAAATGATGTGTGAGTGAAATGATGATCTACATTCTTAATTCGATATTGCTTAGTGATGATGTCATGAGACATTTTCTTCAGGCTCCCCAGCTGTTTAACTCAGAACTTCAGGCAGTGCACAGACAGTGGCCCTGCATTCAGCTCTTTGGAGGTGGAATTATTTTCCCATGGATTTAATAAACAAGGTTTTTGTGCTGTTGCAGCTCCTAGAAATGTTTTTTGGTACAGGAAGAGGATTTTAACATCCAAATAATAATGGCTTCCCACAGGAGATTTGGTTCTGGATGAATGGAGGAAGGATTGGGAATTTCCTAACTCAATTGATTTAGTAGCTGGTTATAGTTTCATTCCATCAAAGATCTTTTTTTCATATGTGGCTTTTTCCTTAGAGAGCTTTTGACACTAAATCTGCTGGGATGGGGGAGGGGGCATCAGATGCCAAAGTACTTTATAAGAGAATCACAGCTGCTTGGCCCTCAGCATCTTCTCAGAGCTGGAGGCCCTAGAAGTGCATAATGGCACTTCTCTTTTAGGGGGGACGGACAATAATTTTAGAGGCATGCAAAAAATCCAGCAGCAGCATTTCCCTTGGTAAATACTGCATAACATCCCAGATACCGGGCACCTGTGCCTCAGTCTGGTCAGGAAATTTCATATCCTTTCCCATCTCAGCAACTTCATTTCCTCTCCTTGGGAAACATTTCAAGAGTCCTAATGATTAGTACGATTGTAAGGGAATGAACTAGGTGGGATTGCCAATCAGAGGTGCAGCTTGTTTATTTTCACAGGCCTTGTTTTCCTTCACTTTTATGGCTGTCTTGATACAGCAAATCTCTCACATTCTAGAGCATGTTGTGAGGCACTCCTGGGAATGACTGGAAACCAACAGCTGGCTATGGATTCAGCAAAAACCTGGTTTGTAAGAAGGCACTAGGAAAGCAAAAGCCAGTGCCAGCAGTCTGCTGGCTGAATGACCAGCGATGGATCAGCAGTGCCATTTCATTTTATTTTTAAGAGGGTTGTTCAGGTGACCAGCAAGTGTCACAGCTTCTTGCTGGCAGTTCACAAAAGGTGAGTAATGGGCTTCAAGGCCAACCTCCCCAAGGAGGTTGCAGGATCCTGCTTCTGAGCCATGAAGGATC